TGCCAGAGCAAGGCTTCAGGGCCACCCCAAGGAAACCTGTGCTAAATGAACATGCACCACCACCCACCATGTTCTACAGGCAAGAGGAAAAAGAGCATCCCAAAAAGCAAAACTCACTTGAAGTGATCCTGCAAAGAGACGTTGAAGTCAAAGGCATCACCCCGATCTGTGAAGCCAATGCCTATAAAAGCACTTCGTCCTGGCAAGGAGACAGGAGGAGTCACTGGAAGTGCCCTGCAACTGGGCCATAAATCCCTCTGCTTGTCCTAAACCACTCTGTGCTACCTCTCTTTGACACACCTGCAGCTGGATGCCAGCAGGTCACAGCATTTCATTGTCCCCAGCCTTCAGGATGCACCCTTCTTCCCACGGAGCGTACTTGGAAACTAAATGTTCCTTCCCAGCCCAGCCCCTGGACTTTGTGCAATTTAGAGAACCTCTTCTGTTTACCTTGTCCTCAGATCCCTTCAGGCACACCACCTGGCCTTTTCAGCATTCCCAAAATCATTTTCATCCTCCTGGCACACTCCCAGCTCCACCTGGGTCTCCTCCACCCCTAGCACTTGGCACCTACGCTGGCCCCCAACTCACCAGTGCCATCCTGAATTCGAATGACAAAGTAGCGGCTGGAATCTGCCACAGTCTCCACTGCAATGCCAGGGTATTGATCTATAGGAGCCTGGGCAAAAAGTTCTCCTGCCAACAGAGAATCAGGTGTTCAGAACACTTCCTAAAGCATGGCCAGGGCTGCCATGCACAGCTCTGGGCAGCCTTAGAAACACAGGCTCAGGGGCAGAATCCCAGCCTTGGCAAGGCACAGCCATTCCCTTACCTGAAACCTTATCCTCCAGTTTTATGTAAGCAGTTTTGCCTTTGGAGGTGACACGAAGCCGCCCTGTCCAGTCTGGATGGTCCAGTTTCCAGTCAGATGCCCTGAAAGGAAGAGCAGCTGAATACTGACCAGAGTTAACCTCTCCAATTCTGCCCAGCCACCTCAGTAGAAATCTCTCCCCCCAAACCCTCAGCCCCTGCAGCTGCCTCATTCCACTTCCCTCCCCAAATAAGACACGGGGTCTCAGCTCCTCTCTTGCTGCTGCCAACTGAGACACAACTCTGACTGGCACCTCTGGGCAAAGGGAAAGAGACACAGACCAGAGAACATCAACTCCTCATCTGTGTACATTTACCAAAGAGGGGAGACAGAAGCACAGAAACTCACTTCAACAGGAAATCCACAAAAGTGACTTGTGAGCATTGAGAAGACCCCAAAAATTAATTAGTAACATGCTGAAAAGACACTCCATTATTCCACCCTATGGCTGTAAAATAACACAGCTGAGTACTTCATAGCCTAGAGGCAGCTGACTTACACCAGTCAAAACACACATACAGATATTTTGACTGACCCGTCACACTCTTTGCCACAGGCTCTTGTGAAGGAAAAAAAAAAATGAGAGAGAGAAAAAACCCAACCTACAGCATCACAGAATATTCTGAGTTGGAAGGATCACTGAATCCAGCTTCCGGCCCTGCACAGGACACCCAAAATGACACCATGTGCCTGAGAGCATTGTCCAAACACTTCCTGAACTCTGGCAGGCTTAGTGCTGTAAAATCTACGGGATTTTATAACTGGAAACAAACATCCTTAGCCAGGCACAATATCCGCCTACAGTCTGTCAGGTTCAGGGAGTTCACAAACCCACTCCTCCAGCAGGCCTGTGGGCACATCTTACAAAGTCACACTCCGCTGCTTTTGGCTGACCAGAGGTCTTTCTAACTGCTGGTTCTGCAGCCTCTTCTTAAAACTCACTCCGAATTCCCCCCGCTTCCCTCTCCACCACTGCGAGAGCCCCCAGGCCAAATCCAAGGCGCACATCAGTGTCACATGGCAGAGAACCCAGAAAGCGGGAGCAGGCGTCAGCCCTGCCCGGAGCAGCACGCTGCCCTCGCCTCCTGCCCCCGGTAACAGAGCAGCCGCTGCTGCCACAGCACGGCGCGGAGGCTCCCCCGCCTCCAGGCGCTCACCACCTGCCGCCACAGGCACTTCCAGCGGCGGCTCCTCCCGAGCTCGGCGGGAGAGGGCTCGGGGGATGGCCAGACCTGCTCGCGGCCACAGGACACGGCGTTCCCAAGGGACGAGGCCGGGCCGCGGCATGGCACTGCCCGGCCCCCGGCTGCCCTGCGGGCAGGGACTGAGGCAAGCCGGGCCGATCGCGGGCGCCGGACGCTCCCTCACCTGTACCCGCGGTTGGAGGTGCGCGGCGGGATGCGGTAGACGTTGACATCGGGCTTCACGCAGAGAACGGACTCGTACTCCAGCTCGGCCGCCGCCATGTCGGCCGCGAAGCCCGGCGAGGAGCGAGCGGCGGGAGCCTAGTGACCAGCGGCGCTGCCCACCGCCATCTTTGGTGAGGGCAGACACCGCCTGGGGGCGCCAGCGCGGTCGCGCCAGACGCGGGCCACGTCGGTGAAGCGGAGGAAGCCATCTTGGGTGTTGGCAGCGGGGAGCGGGGGCGGGAGGGCACCATCTTGGAGCCGGCCCTGACACAGCAGTGGCGGCCGGCGCCATCTTGGGGCCTGGCAGGTGTCGCGGCGGGGCTGGCGCGGCCATGTTTGTTAGGGGCAGCCCTCACGGCACCGAGCTGCCCGTCCGGCCGCCCTCCCCTGTGCTGCGGCGATTAGGTGGCTTTGTGGTAAAAGAGCCAAAGAGGAAATGCGGTGCACAGCACGGAAATTTGCTGCTGGAAGTGATGGAAACGGCACCTGTGCAAAGCTTAGTTTCAGGAGTGGGTCTTCCCCCGAAAAGGGTGCAGATACCGGTTTTATTTGTCAGTAATGATAAGGCTGGCAGCGTTTAAACCACTCTTTTAATGGTGGCTTCTCAGAGGAGACTGGTGTTGAAGTTCAGTGCTGTGCAGCGTCTTGTGACTGAGTGTCAAAAAGTACCAGCGTTTACTCTGAAAAGTGTGAGAAAAGGCATAAGAGAAATTTTAAAATTACATAGAGCCGTGTCTGAGCATTCCATGTCAAGCATTGGAACGGGCTGCCTAGGGGGGTGGTGGAGTCATCATCCCTGGAGGTGTTGAGGCAAAAATAATCACA